TCACTGTGCTGAGGCTGTGTTTTAGGAAATACATGGTGACTTATTTAGGGGTAGAGGAGTATCATGTCTGCAACTGACCACTAAATGACACAGAGCATGACAGTTCCTCAAAATATTAAACACAGAATTACCATAGGATGCAGTCATTCCACTTCAGGGTCTATACCCACGAGGACGGAAAGCAGGATCTTGAAGAGATATTTGTAGGCCCATGTTCATGGCTGCATTATTCATAAGAGCTAAAATGCAAAAGCAACCTGAGTGTCTACTGACCAATTAATGGATAAGCAAAATGTGGTATATACAGCTTGAGACCAGGCAACGGGATATATATCAACCTTCAAGAGGAAGGAAATTCTGACACATGCTACAACGCAAATGAACCTTGAAAACATTATGCTAAATGAAATAAGCCAGGCACAAAAGCACAAAACTGTATGCTTCCATTTATATGAGGTCCCTAGTGTAGTCCATAGAGACAGAAAGGAGAATGTGGTAGTTGCCAGGGGCTGGGAGAGTGAGGAATGAGCAGTTACTGTTTAATGGGGACAGGGTTTCAGTTTAGGAAGATGAAAAGGTCCTGGAAACCAATGATGGTGATGGCTGCAAAACAATGTGAATGTACTTAATGCCACTCAACTGTACACTTAGTAATGGTTAAGGTGGTAAAGCTTATGTTATATGTATTTTACCACAGTTTAAAAAATGACTTGGAAGTCAAACAAAATTTTAAACTATATTTATCTACCTACCTATTTATCTATAGAGAAAGAGCAAATGTAATATAATGTTGACACCTGGGGAATCTGGGTGTGAAAAGACTTCTTTGTCATCCTCTCCTGCCACGGCTGGGAGGAGAAATCTCCAGCAAAGACATCTCAGCATAAGGTAAATAATCTCATCTATCTTTACATCCTGTCAACCACAACCCAACTTTTTCTTACCCTCCTGTCCCCCACAGCTTGAAATTTCCCTGCCCCCTCCCGTTTCTTTTCCCCATGGCCCTGGCAGCGCTTTCTGGCAACATGTTGAAAGTCCAGTAATGAAAAGAATCCATCTCCCAGGTTAAGTGAGGACTTAAAAAGGATCATCTTTATTTGTTCAGTTTCACTCAGGGAGTTATCCCCAAAGCTGTCCACGCGACAGGCCACCCATATGCCCAGGCAAGTCAATTTGGTGGAAAAATCTCTATGGGCAGGGGGGTGGGGTACTTGAGGATGCTACTAACTCGGTTAGTGACCAAACCAAGGAACCCTCTATATGGCGCAGTAACCCTCCCGGTGGCCACCATGACATGTGATACGCCAAGGTCGCACCCCCAGCTCAGGGCAGCAGCCCCGCCTTATGGATCCTGTCTCTGCCCCTCTCCCTTCACCCAGCAGAACAGGCGCTACACGCTGAGCACGACTGCCCGCCCAGAGTAACTCAAGGGTCTCTCCCACTGGGTGATGTTTACCAAGCATTAGTGGGAAGAATCGCCCACGTGGACTTTTGATGGTAGGAAATGACTTGGTGCCACCAGGGAGCCATGGAGTGAGTCTCCTTCTTGTCCTAACCTTTCCTCCTCATGTCCTCTGGGTCCCCACCTAACCCCTCCCCATCTGGGGGAAAAAATAAACTAAGAAACCCACCATCAAAGAAATACACACACCCCATGGCCAGCATCCCCACAGAGAGGCGTCCACATGCTCGCTAGAGACCCTGAGAGGGGCATCCTTGTTGCTTTACTCTTGGGGAGCAAACCCTGAAGCCCCTAGTGTCAGTGCCAATGGGAGGAGGGGTGGGTCGGGAAAGGAGACAGTTGTCCCCCCCCCCACACACACACACACCAATACAGGCTGAGGAAAAGCAGCCGGTGCCAGAGGAACACAGAGGCTGTGCCATCCCATTCATTTGTTTGCAGCTTGAGACCAGGCAAAACTCATCTGTGGTGACGGAGCTCAGGAAGCAGCTGAGGAGCGATGGGGGGCGGGGGGGGGTTAGCAGGAAAGAATGTTCTGGGTTGATGGGAATCAACCACCTTGATCGAAGTATTGGTGACATGGGCATAAATACTTCTCACCAAAGTGATGGGGGCACTGAAGATCTGTACATGTTTTTATACAAATGATTCCCCAATTTTAATAAGGGCAATGGTCGGGGAGGAGCAGCTATACCATTCATCTGAAGTTAAGAGAAGTGGGTGGCCCGTAATCAAGCTAAATTCTTGGCCTCTGACCATCTTCTGCTCCAAAAGGGCTGGACAGTTCTCCTGGGGGGAGCGTAGCAGCGCACCCCAAGTCCCACGACAATCTGCAGCCAGCACAGCCGCCGAGCAGACTGTGAAAGTAACGGGGCTTGTGCGCCCCAGACAACACACTGTCTACACCCCATCTACCTGACAAGACCCCGCCGCGCGGCTGCGTCTGACCGATTCCCTTGACCCCATAACAAAGACCCGCTTTGTTCCCTGGTTAATATCCTTAGCAGGTCTGTCTAGACTCACTGTGGCAGTAATTGTCCTGTGATGTCACCAGGACCTGTGACCCGACTCCTCCATGCCCCACTTGGGCAGAGAAGGCTACAGATGGCCCCAAGCCAAGGGGGTCCAAGCCCTCAACACCCACCTGAGCCTCCTAGGGCGAGAAAGACCCGCAGCCAGCATCCCACTCCCACCACCCAAGACCTGCGGGGAGACAGGACACTTGAAAAATGCAGTCCCTCCTGTGTGGGGTGCCAGGGGCAGTGGCATTTTTTCCTAGGAAAGAGGAAAGGAGGGGTGCCCCTCTGTCCCCAGAACTCCCACCTCCAGAATGTGGCTGGTGGGAAACAGTTCACTCTCTGCTGGGGCGCCAGTTCACCCAGGGCATGAGGAAGGAAGGTCAGATAAGAGAGAGAGAGAGAGAGAGAGAGAGAGAGAGAGAGAGGAGGTGGGGGAGGGAGAGAGGGAGACAGGAAGAGACAGAGACCCAGAGACAGACAGAGAGAGGCACCCAGAGAGAGACTGAGAGTGACAGAGAAACAGAGAGAAGGGGAGAGACAGACAGAGAGAAGTGAGTTGGTCCCTGGCAGAGAAGGAGTTCCTTCCACAGGTGGCAACTTGAGCTTCAGAAAAATCAGTTGGGACAGGAAGTAACGGCTGCTCCCTCCACCTCACCAAACACCCAACCTCAGCTTGAGGTGACAGACATCAATGGTTGCCCGCAACTCACGTCTGGATCACACCAAGAACACTCTGAGGCATATTTTCTTGAGGGACGGATCTGACCCATCCAATGACTACACCCTTTCCATGGGCAAATCTGTTTTATCCAGAGTAACTGAAAATCACCACCAGCGGCTCCTAGCCACCCCATGGGTGGATCCGGCAGATGCTCTGCTGTGCAGCAGGCAGGGGACCCAAGTGCAATTCCATTGACACCAAGTTCTAGAACAGGTAAAACGCACCTATGGAGGCCATGAAGTCAGCAGAGAGGTTTACACCTGGGAGTGGGGTTGGCGGGTGGAGTGGGAGTAGCTGGGAAAGGACACAAGGGGCTTCTGCAATGGGGGACGAACAGAGAAGGGGCTGAGAATGTTCTAGGTCTTGATCTGGACTCAGGTGCTGCGGAGGCACATGTGTCAAATTTCATGGGCTAACACTGCTGTGCGCACTCAGGGTATGTATGGGCAACTCCAGTTTGTTGTTGTTGTTGCTTTTTTAAGGGAAACAATTGGATCTGGGAAGGTTGGCATTTTTTAGCTGGGGAATGGTGGAGAATTCTCTCTTCTTGTCTCATAAAGTTGAGGAAGAAAACTGAAAGTCTTCTAGAGGTGAGGTCTGGAGAGATGGGTGACTGAAATATAAGGGGTATTTCCCCACCGGCAGCAGGATGAAAAGCTGCCATCTTCCACCATCCGAGTCCCAAAGCTCGGAGGGATTTCCAAAGATTGTTTAATTGATTTTTCTCCTATTTAGATGCAGATCATAGTGTCTGGGGCCCAGGAATTCAGACACACGGCTTTGTGTCCACTCAGCCCCGTGAAGACTCCTGTCTGAAACTCGCACAAAGCCAGACACACACGTCTTCAGAAACACGCTGTTTCCTTTTTGTCTGGGGCTCCAGGGAGCGGGTGCGACGAGCAGGGCCTCAGACATGCTCCCATCTGCGGAATCCCGGGGATCCTGTCCCTCTGTTCTGCTAGCAAAGTGGGGTGAAAATTTTTTAAAAGGGAGAGGAATGTGGCCAAGATTTTGAGGTCTGGAAGAAGGGTAACAAAAAAGGTGGGGCACCCCAACTGGGAACAGACACACTGAGGTTTCAGCTTGGATTTTTCTCCGAATTCAGGGCTCTGGAGTGGAAAGCAGGGGATGCTTTAAATCAAGAAGCTAATGGGCTAGGATTAACACGAGCTTGGCTCCGGTCCGTGCAGATCTGATTTATATAAGGAGGAAACTTTTCTCTCTTTCTCTCTGCCCATTGTTCCCCAGTCTGTCCCTCCAAATGCCCCAGCTGACAAAGAAACTGGAAGGCTCAGGACAGCGGGAGAGACCTCCTCTCCCACAATATGCAGCCTTTGCTTCCTCCAGCTGCCAGGAAGCAACACTGAGGGTCACTGCACCCCCTCTACAAGGTTAATACATCCCCCAATATCCCTGCCTGGTCCCCCAAAACCTGGCTGTGGCATGGGATACTTCCGAAGAAATGCCACTCTGGTTTCTGAGCCGGATGACCTCAGATAACTCTCTCTGTGCCTCAGTTTCCTCATCCATAAAGTGGGCACAAGAATAACTGCACCTAAGGGTTGTTGGGAGAATTCAGCATGCTGGGCAGCAAAAAACGCTTGGTGCAGAGGAAGCACTCAACAAACGCAAGCTACAGTGGTAACTATCTGAGAGGAAGTGTATATCAGACTTAAATATCTCTCAGGAAGCTTCACAGGAGATGTTCTCTTCATAGGTAACTTCCTTTCTTTGGTGTCAAGTATTTCCAGGGGAAGCCCAGCCCCAAGCCTGATTCCTCCCCTCTGGATCCAGTTACCTGGACTGCAATCCAGCTGGCATTGACAGTGTGTTCCCCAAAAGGGCCGAACCCTGAAAAAAATAAGAAAAGCAGCATGTCACCACCAAGCGGCCCCTCCTGGCCTGCCCAAGGCCAGGCTGCTGCTTTCATCCAGGAGAATGGAGCAGGGAGCTTCGGGAGCAGCTGCCACCTGGGACAATGTCGGGGGCCTGGTCCCAAGTTTGGGGTGCACCCAGTGGCCCTTCAGAGCCCTCCACCACACAAACTTGTCTGCTCTTAACAGAAGCTGTGAGTCCTTTATCGTCCTCACTTTCACCTGACCTTCATGCCCAGCAAGAGGCCAGTGCCCTTCTTTTGCCCCAGAAAAGGCTGGCCTTGCTCCCTACCCGATTTCTTCCCCTATCCTTGACCCCCAAATATAATTTTATCATTGTCTTTGTGCCTCCTCCCTGGACTCTGGAACTGCAGAGCCATAGGCGGTCTGTGAATCATCACCTGCTAAGGAACGGCCCTTAAGGGATGCACGTGGATATCTCCCAGGTCAGGCTGTCCAGACATCATCCCACCACCCTCCTCCCTACTCACTCAAACTCCAGGCCCCATTTACAAACCAGATTCTCACCTGAGGATGTGCTAAGTGCTCTGCATGCCCTGTGGCATTTAGCCTCCCTGTGCTTCCCTTTCAGGCAAGGGTGTTTCCTGGGCCCATTTTAGAGGAGCCGGGACTGACGTACAGAGAGGTGAAGCCAGCTGCCCAAGGTCTCACAGCAAGAAGACAGAAGAGCACGGATTCAAACACAGACCCAGGAAAGTCTGTGGCCTCCCTCTTCTAATCGCCCCAGCACACCTAAAAAATAAACCTCTCTAAAAAATAAACCTCTCTAAGAAAGGCTGTCATTGAACCATGGGTCACTCCAGTTGGGCCAAGTGTCCCAAGTGGTATCATGGCCCTGGGAGGGATACTGTTCCCTGGAACAGCAAGGGGCCCCCAAGTAGGGTCAGAACCTCTCCACCTCTTTCCTCCTCCTGCACGGACCAAGTATGAGTCCCAGCTCAGCCACTTACAAACAAGGTGACCTCTGTGAGCCTCAGTTTCCCCCTCTGCAAAATGGAGGCAGTAAAGATTTAATGAGCTCATGCAAGAAAAATGCCCAGTCCCGTGGCTGCCTGCTGAGTCAGGACTAAAGTAATAAATAAGCAGATATAGGAGGGCTGCAGGGGAAAGTGACCCTCTGGCAACTTGACACACCTGTTTGTCAGATAAGTGGCTTCTTCCATATTCCTGGGAATTCCAGGACCAGCCCAAACCTCCCTGGACCACAATATACCTGTTCGAACCTTAGCTGGATTTCTCACTCTGACCCTCCTGACAGGGTCAAAATACCGCACACCCCCACCCCGACCAGAGGCCTGGCAGAAATTCACCGCGCACGAGGCTCCGAGGTGGAGTCTCCTAGAGGAGAAGCAGTTAGTTTTGGGGAGTCAGTGACAGTGGGACAGGGGTCCAGGCTCACCCACAAACAGCCCGGGCAGGAAAGATTTTGACCAAGACAGTCCTTGGGACAAGCGGAAGAACGGCCGGGCACCCGAGGTTGCCCAAACTTCACCTGCCCCTGCCTCCGGGGAGCAGCCCCCCATTAGCGCAGGGCTCGGAGAGCAGTGCCTGGCAAGAGATTAACTTGTCACGGGGCACTTCCTGCCCGCAGATCGGCCTTTGTCCCCTGAGACCGGGGGTGGTGACAAACCCGACCTCGGGAGGGGCAGGGAGGAGTCCAGTCCAGCCTGCCGGCCGGGCAGACACAACAAACAAGTGACCGGAGGGTCCCTGTCCCCAACTGGGAAAGGAAGGAGGCCAGAGGGGCCTGCTCCGTGTGGGGCACTTGCCAGGGCACCCACGTCCTTGCCTGCCCCGACTCCTGACAGTGGGACCACAGGGGCGCCCCCTTCTCCACTTTCTCTGTCGCGCGGACTGAGCTGGGCTCCCGTGGGCGATGACATCTGCCAAACCTGGGACGACTTCTAGCACCTGCCCCACCCGGGCCACCGCGCTTCTTCCGGCCCCGCTGCCTCCGGAGCCGCCCGACCCGCCCCCGCCACGGGCCGCGGCTGCCGCGGCCGCCATCAGAGCACTACACGCGTACCCGTCACCACCACCGCCTTCCTGGGCTGCTCCATGGCGGGCTCAGGCTGCGCCTTTGACCCACTCCTGTCCGGCCCGGCGAGCCCGCTGCCGCCGCTGCCGCCGCTCGGCCACCGCGCCGCCCCGCCCCGGCCCCGCCCCCAGGCCGCTGGGCGTGCGCGTCCCCGCGACCAAGGCGCAGAGTGCACGCCCCTTCCCTAACTCTCCCCCCAGTAGGGCGTGGTTGCCCCCACTCCCCAGCCTCAGTTTACCCACCCGTACGATGGGGACAGTTTGTCCTGCACGCTGTGGCCGCTTGAACTCGAGTCACGCGCTGGGGACGAGCCGGTTATTCATTCCACAGTGTTCACCGATCGCTTGCTGTGAGTTATATCGGTTCCCCCCACCTCCCTGTGAGCAAGGCTCCATTATTCGGCCCCTTTTACAGATGAGGAAACTGAGGCATAGTTCGGAAGGCCATTCACCTAAAGCCTCCTGGGGTCACAGATGCGGCATTCAAGCCAGGAGTTTGAGGGGGGGATGAAATAAGGTGAAAACCGGGCACCCACAGCTGGGTGGTGCCCAAAGCAGGCTCCTGTGTTGCTAAGGAGGCTGATGTGGCCCCAGATACCTGGGCCTCCCCTCCCTCCTTCTCCCCAATACACAGCTGCTCTAGACCCAGCAGTCCTCCAAGGGCCCACCCAACACAGTCCCACCTTAGGGCCTTTGCACTTGCTGTTTCTTCTGCCTGGAACATGCCCTACAGGTTCCTGCAAAACTCGTTGCTTCTCCAGGGCTCAGCTGGAACATCACCTCCTCCTAGGGGTCCTCCTCACACTGGCTGAAATCCCCCACCCCAACTCACCACCACCCCAGTAGGTCCATCTCATTTCCTTGTTTCATCCTCTTCAGAGCAGCAATCACATTCAGAAATCATTCCTTTATAGGCACTGCTTTTCTTTTCTTTTTTTAAATTTTATTTATTTATTTATTTTTGGCTGCACGTCATGGGCTTTTCTCTAGTTGCGGTGAGTGGGGGCTACTCTTCATTGTGGTGCGCGGACTTCTCATTGCGGGGGCTTCTCTTGTTGTGAAGCACAGGCTCTAGGCACGCAGGCTCAGTAGTTGTGGCTCGCAGGCTTAGTTGCTCCCCGGCATGTGGGATCTTCCCGGACCAGGGCTCGAACCCGTGTCCCCTGCATTGGCAGGCAGATTCTTAACCACTGGGCCACCAGGGAAGCCCGACACTGCTTTTCTGGTTTATTTCCCATTTCCTGCCCTGACTTCCAGAGCAGGGTTATGTCTCCATTAGAGCCTTGTGCCTGGCACACAGTAGGTCCCCAACCCACATTCAGCAGAGGCCAGCATTCTTCCAAAAATAGCCAAAAAATACGGCTGAGTTTCTGGCCACATCCTTAGAAACAGGACTGGACCTTGGACGTGGGTCACTGACATCTCATTCCAAGCAGCCTTGGCCCAGATTAGTCAGGGTGCTGACCAAGGACCGTCTGCCTCTGGCCCAGGCCTCAGAATATCCAAAGCAATGTTCTCTGAACTGCCCAGCAGCCTTGTTTGCAAGCTCAGACCAGAGGTCACACACTCAGTGGCTATTTTGGTCTCTGGCAGTTTCAGGTAGAATTCAGAAAATCTGAAATCCAGCCTGGGCCAGCTGTGGGAGCGAGACCTCAGCCAAGTAGAAGAAAAGAACAGAAGAAAAATCTCACCAAGAATCTGGTTTTATAACTCAAACATGTAATAAGTGTCTGGTACAAAGTGCATGTATTGCTAGAAGCTGGGGATGTGAAGAGAGGGAAACCACAGAGGGTTTCATTCCCCCCCCCC